ACATTTACATAAATATTATTAGGGGTATTTTGGTTACTATATTACTCATAAGACTTATTGGAATATAAGAAAGTGATGTGAACTAAATGAAATATAAATAGGTAAAAATGCATTTATGAAAAAGTATCCCTAAAATTTAACAATATTATTTTAATTGAAGTGTTATACATCCCTAAAATAGTTTATCAAAACTTTTTACTTCGATTCTTATGTAGCATGATAATTTTTTACAATTTTTTGAAGTATATGAGTTTTACATATATATATATATATATGACTTTTATTGAATTAATACACTCAAAGATTAAAATAAAGTGATGAAATAAAATCTGTTATATATAACATTTTTCTTGTTCAAATGATGCAAATAAATTTTTTTATTTCATCTAAAAGATTAAATATAAAGATAAATTGTGAGCTCCCATAACAAGAGAATCAAAGAAAAAAAAATCTCTTACTAAAATTTTGAAAATATTATAATTTCACATTATATATTATTCCCAACACTTAACTGGTCTAGTCTTCAACACAAGGATTAACTGATGTTAGGAATTTAAGGGTTGTTTGGAATGTCTTAAATAAGTGTATTTTTTTACTTTTTAAATTAAAAAGTTGAGGGAAAAAATATAGTTGTTAAGGTTAACTTTTTGAATTTTTATGGAAAAATGTGTATTAAGAAATTGTATAAATTAGTGTATAGGGAAAAATTAGGATTCAGAGTTGTGCAGCAGTAATTTTTGACTTTTGATGAATAGTAATCACTGTGTTTGGTTTGAGTTTTCTGGATTAAGTTTTTTAAAAATTGAGTTTTTTGATTTTCGTATTTTTTTATTTTTAGTGAATATTTTTAAAATTTTAAATACTTTTTTTACTTTTTTAGATACACCTTACTTAGATGTGTTTAAAAAGTAAAAAATTATGAAAAAATATTTTAAAAAATTAAGAAATACATAAAAATACAAAAAATGTACTAAATTCTTGTATTTTTTTTATATTTTTGGTATTTAGTGAATTTCTAAAAGATTTTTTTTACAATTTTTTTACTTTTTATGTGTATTTATGTTAGGTGTGTCTAAAAAGTAAAAAATTTGCATAAAATATTTAAAAAATTCAATAAAAAACAAAAAAATACGGAAAATAAGAGTGTAGAATTTTCTGAAAACTGTTTTTAAAAAATGGAAACCAAGCAAACTGAATAATTTTTTAACTTTTTAACTTTTTGATCACATGCCAAACTTGATCTTAGCTTTTTTTCTTTTAAGAAGTTGTTCCCAAATTTTAATATAATAATTTAATTTAATATAACTCTTTTTTTATCTATAAATGATTTCTTATCCCTAGACAAATAAATAAAAAATGCCACAACTTCACTCCAATCCTTAATCTGCTGGACAATGTTGTTGATTCTTGGTGGGCCCAATTCCAGACTCAAATCGGTGATTCAAACTGTCAATATGTAAAGTTTGTTAAGATCAATAACTGTAAAAAATCACGTTGATCTCATATTGATAGACATTTGATCAAATTGTATTTGTTTCAACAATAATTTTGATTTTAAAAATAAATTATAAATACAAATACAAACTAATTAAATGCTTATCAATATCTGATTAATGTATTTTTTTATAAAAATAATATATTTGATAAATTAAACGATTTAGATATAAATTTTGAGTTAGGCTCGCCGCAGTCCAATAACACCGTCCAATGCATTTTGGGCCGGGAGAGGAGCTGGACCATAAAAAAAACTTGAAATCGGAGATGCATCAAACGACAAATGACAAGACATTTATGGTGCATTGATTACCTAAATTGCATACATTCGTAACTGCCACCACCTCGTGCTCATACGGAAATCGGTAGAGTGTTATGCCTCATAATCATAATCATAATCAAAAATGTTCGCGAGCTCCAACTATGAGCTTTAAAAGAGTTTTAAGAGGTGGGTTTTATTTATTGATGTAATATTTTGATTTTAATTTTTTTTTTTAATTTTACCTTATTAGTGCTTAATTAGTGTTCTTAAATTAGAGAGGATGAATCGTTGTTATAAGTATAATTTTGTGGTGTGAGTCTGTGTCATACGGAACATTTTTTAAATTTATTTTAATAATTTAAGCCATTTATATTATAAAATTTATTAAATAAATTATTTATAAAAAAAATAAATTAATTAAACATCTATAACTTATAATAAGATCATATTTATGTTTTAAAAAATAAACGATTAACATAATTTTGATAATTTTTTTAAAATAATTATAATTTGATCATGGAGTTACACCCAATTAACTTTATTTTTTATATGAATAACATATTCAACAAATCTTATAATATGAACGGTTCAAATCATCAAAATAAAATTAATACAAACCTTAACCGAAACGTTACAGCGGGGTGTGGGATAATATCCTCCCCTTGCCCTGCCCACAGGGCCGTACCTGAGGAAAGGTGACCAAGGCGGTCACCTCGGGCACTTAATTTTGAACAAAATTTAGGACTCCCAATTAGGAGTGTGTATCATGTCATATTATTTTATAATTAACTCGATATTAATTTAATTAACGTGTTTTTGTGTTGCCGTGTGATGTTATTTTTTATTCATGTCCGATTAATATTTAATGTGAAAACTCACTTTTAGTTAAAATTAACTTAACAAGTATATGGCGAGATTACAATTTTTTCCACAAGTTAAATTTTATAAATTTATTTTTACTAAATGAAATTATTCATAAAATATTTGATTTCAACTCAATTGCATTTTTCTAATTAAAAAAACAATACCTTATTACTATATATTTTTTATCAGATTAACTCTAAAATGGATAACAAAAAATACATTTCTTAAATGAAAAAAGATCTTAACCTTAAATTATTACCAGCATAATCCCTGTGTTATGCATGGATTTAAATAAATAATCAAATTTTAATTTTAAACTTATATCATAACATATTTTATGTGTAAAATGTATTGAACAAATAACTTAGAATCAATTAAATTTTAACTATGTTTAGAGTATTTTTGTTTTATTTTTTTAGTTGTTATGTCATTAATTACATGTTTTAAATTTTTAATAAAAAATAAATAATTTAATAGGGGATTACAGTTCAATGGAACAAACAAAGTATGTCCTCAAAAAAAAAAAAAAAAAGAAAAAGGAAAATGATTAAAAAAAAGGAAAATGATTTTCCCCCCGAATCCCCCGACTGTCGTTTTGGGCAGTTTCTTTTTGTCTTTTTCTTTTTCTTTTTCTTTTTTCTATTCAGTCTGAAACTGAAACTGAAACAGAGGGAGAGAAGAGAGAAGAAGAGAGGGGAAGAGAAAAAGGAGAGAAAGAGAAGAGAGGGGAAGAGGGAACGGAAAGAGAGAGAGGGTCGATCGCCGGTGATGGAGGGTGCGACGGTGGACGGTGATGGAGCACTGATCTGATGGAGCACCGCCCAGATCTTAATTTTTTTTTTTTTTCCTGGCTCTGTGTTGATGATGGTGATGTTGATGAAGATGAGCACCGCCCGGGTGTGACGATGACCAACCAGATCTGATGGAGCACCGCCTAGATCTATATATTTCTTTTTTTTCTTTTGTTTTTTTTCCCTGGCTCTGTGTTGATGATGGTGATTTTGGTTGAATGGTTGTTGATGATGTTGATGAAGATCTAAAGATGATGATGATGATGTTGTCTCTCTCTCTGTCTCTGCTACTCTCCTCTTCCTTCTCCTCCTCCTCCTTTCTTCTTCTTCTTTCTTTCTTTCTTTCTTTCTTTCTTATTCTTCTTCTGCGTTATTGAGAAAAAAAAAAATTCAAAACGACGAAACGACGTCATTTTGAATTCGGGGGATTCGGGGAAAGGAGGATTCAAGCTCCCTAGCATAACTGAAAAAGCGAGAAAAAATAAAGACAAGGTTTGGTTGTTTGACAATTCTTTGCAAATTGAAAGAGATGAGAGAGATAAAAAAAGAAAAGTGGAGACAGAAAAGAGCACATTTTTGGTGATATCACAATACATTATAATAATTTACACTTTTGGCGATTAAAAAAAATTTAGTTGTCAAAAATTAATTTTTTAACGACTGAAAAATGTATTTGTTTAGATTGTAACTATTAAATTTTTTTAGTCAAGATATATTACTTAATGACAACTAAAAAAAAATTTAATAGCTAAATATGCCATGATAGGTGTAGACGTCCCCAAACGTCCCGGGAGGGAAATCCCCCCCCCCCCCCGCCCCCCGTTTTGTTCATTGGCCACAAACTCGATATAGGAGCATTTCATAATTTTTTATTTTAAAAAAGAAAAACAAGATAAAAAAATAAAAAATAAAAAGAACAATTTTAAACATGCTCAAGTAACCAGAAATTCAAGCTAATCAAAACAAGCACAATGCTGTTGGATGGCAGATTATGGCAAAGCAGGATGTATCTTTACTCAGATGAAGCACATATAATTGATTCAATATTCACAGCCTTACAAGCCTATAAAATGTAAGTAAAAGAATGTTAGTAGCAAATTTTGCAGGCTTAAAGGATCTAAAATTGAAGAAAAATTACATATTATTGCAGATTGCAAGCTCCAATATAAAATAAAATTGCACTTATGGTTTTTTACTTCATATTGTCAATGCTTATTACTTAAAAATATGTTGATGCACATGCACAAGCACACGCACATAACCCATAATTGTTTATCTCAAAACAGTAGCCAGTTAACTACTTTCCAATTTGTAATGCCAAAACTAGTCATCCTACAATAGTGGTATGTATAATAGACCCAAAAACAAACCCTAGTATGGGTGGCTTCTAGCAAATCTTCAATCATAGATATTTCCATGTATATCAAACAACAAGGGGCTGGGTCAACTATTCAATCAAATGATATTGATCATGTTTCCCATCTCTTCTCAAGAAACAAGTGGGCTATTTCTTTACAAAATTGTGCTCAATTTCATATGTGGCACATATGTATATGACAATTATACACAAAGGAAGAACAAAACACTACAACCATACAAGTTTATCATACTCCCACAACTGACATTGAAATGTTCACCTTACACATTGCAATCAGATCATCAAGTGTTTCATTGATCAGCTTGAGTGCAGCAGTGACCCTTTTTTGCTGTGGTGATATGTCTTTGAATATGGGAATATCCCAGTATGGAAGTGGTGCAACACTTCGATCTTCTGCTTCTCGCAAGACAGTGTATACAGCCTGGCCAAACCAAAATATAAAACATAAATGCATGGTTTGTTAGCTTTAAGTGAAAAAACATTAGCTGAACATCAGAAAATAACTGACACTTCAAAAACAAGAAGGAAGTTCAATAAAATAAAGAGAATATAGACGTAAAAGACAATACCTCAACTATCCCAGTATCATTTGTTAACGAATCAAAATCATAATTAAATAATGCTTTTCCGATAATATCCAATGTCAAACGAGACGTGCTTGGGCTAACTCCTATCCCAAACACAATGCAAATGAGATGGCATACACAATGTGACTAACATACAACCTAGCATACGCAATGCTATGAAATGGCATACACAATGCTCGATGTAACATGGCATACACAATGCTCTAACATGCAACTCAGCATACACAATGCTCTAACATGCAACTCAGCATACACAATGCTCTAACATGCAACTCAGCATACACAATGCTCTAACATGCAACTCAGCATACACAATGCTCTAACATGCAACTCAGCATACACAATGCTCTAACATGCAACTCAGCATACACAATGCTCTAACATGCAACTCAGCATACACAATGCTATGGACCGAAATGGCATACACAATGCACGATGGACTTACACCAACATGAGTGGACCTCAGCCACACTCACATCAGTGGCCATTAGATAAAAATGAGACGACCGAAATGCGTGCACACGTGCACGAATACCAAGGACCGAACCTAAGGCATCAAATGCCACTCTACCAAAGCATGGCAAGGGATGAAAGATGGCATGCAAACATGCAATTTCCAGCACTGAAATATAATGCGCAATGGTCCCGAATCATGGAAATATGGCACCCAATGCGTGAAAGAGACCCCGAAACTCAAAACTAGACAAATGCATTGAACCACAAGTATGCAGAGCAAGCATTATTTGGCCATGAGGTGTGAAAACAGAGCCAAGGCAGACCAAAATAAGCACAACATCAGTTCCAAGCATGGCCCAAAAGTGCTAACATGAAGGGCTAAAACAACATGCAACCTAGACTAGTAAGCATGGTTTACATGGCATGTACATGAAGCATAAGAGAGGTCACCAAACCAGCCAAAAATAGGAACATGATATGCTAAAATATGCCCAAATAACCACTGAAGTGCATCCAATGCATGCAAAAATGATGAGCTCCTTTAGAGGGCCATACAAGGGGTTACTCAACACATACATCAAGGACACTTAGCATAGAAAAACCAGCTCTGGAACTCAATTATGACAGCCCTAAAACTCACTAAAAAGGGCCTGAAATGGCTCAAGGAAGTATGCAATGAAAGGTCCCCTTGAAAGGCCTTAAGGAGGATTGCTCCACACATGCATGATAGACATAAAATATGGCCAAAAGGGCTCCGGACAGAGCTAAGGCAGACCTCAAAACTCACATAATAGGGCCTGAAACAAGACTTCAAAGCATGCAAAATGGGGGTCCTTTGGAAGGCCAAAGGGCCAACAAACAAGACAAGGAGAGAAGGGGTCACCCCCCTTGGATTTCAGTGGCTAAAAGGCCAAACCAAGGCCAATGTGAATGCTCTAATGCATAGCCCTAATCATGAGGAATGAAGCATGCCAAGAGGAAAATGACCCCAAACAGAAAAATGCCCTTAATCAAACTTCAAGAGGGGCTCAAAATAAGACCTTTTTTTAGTTCATGGAAAATCTCAAAAATGCTTGCAAGTAAGGCTAAGATATCATGCAAAATAAGCCCTAAAAGAGAGATGAAGCATACAAGGATGTAAGAGACCTCAAACAGAAAAGTATCCTTAATCAAACTTCAAGAGGAGCTCAAAATAAGACACTTTACAGTTTATAACAAAACCCAGAAATGCTTGCAAATAGGGCTAACTTATGGAGCAAAATAATGCAAGAAAAGGGAAAATGGAGACTTACCCTTGTAGCACAGCAATGTAGCAACTTCTGGACTAAGTTGGTGAACCTTTAACCCCTGAAAATCAGTCCCAAAGTGCTGAAATGGATGGTGGAGGTGGTAGACTATGAGGTGTAGTGTAAATGACCAAGAACAAGGGTGTTTTGAGCTTGAATGAGAGAGATATGGAGAGTTGTATGTATATGCCTCAACTGGTTTTTTCTAACCCTTGCAAATAGAAGAGGAGGCCTCCCTTTATAGAGAAGAGAGGCCAAAGCTTCTCTAAGAAGCTTCAAACAAAGCTCAAAGATCCTTCATACACGTGTATGGAGGATCACTTCTGAGGCTTCCAGCTGGCACAGCTGGCTTACACCCAAAGAGACCAAAAAGCAGGAAGCAGGCCGACTAGTTAAGGTGGTCAGCCTGCCACTCCCCCTGGTCGACCGACCAGGGGTCAAAAAGGTCAAGTTGAAAAGGTGGTCGGCTATACCAGATTGGTGGCCTCCCAAGTGAGTACAACACAGCTGTACGGTGGAAAACCAGAAAATGTGACCCGGGAGAGAGAAAAACCAGCTTTTTAGCAAGGTTCAAAAAGGTCAAGAAGAATTACTGGTCGGCCTACCCATATTGGTGGCCTCCCAGATGAGCACAACACAATGATGGTATGAAGAACCAGAAATTGTGGCTCAAAAGTGAAAAAAACCAACTTTCTATTAAACAAATCGGCTGGAGGAGAAAGAAAAAGAGAAAGCTAGTTTCCAAGGGAAAAAGGTGGACTCCCACCATACTACCACCTCCCTAGCAATGAAAATAGGGTCCCTACCAAAAATGGACCAAGACGGACGCAAAACGAAGGTTCGGGGGCCAAAACGCGCAGTTTAGGGCCCCGAAAACAGGCTATTAGGCACCAGAAGTGGCGTATGACCACGAAGGTGGTCTCCCGGGCCACAGTGTCCCTCTAAAGGGAGGAAACAAGGTGTGTGCCAAAAATCGGAGCAAACGGAAGTAGTTAAGCGGTCCCGAACCGAGGCACACGGCCGACGGCTTCGAAAATAGGAAACTGGGCTCCAAACGGGAAAAATGGCCTATGAGCACGAAGCGTAGCCTACGGCCACTGAGAGATGGTCTACGAGACCTCTCCCTCCCTTCGGGAAGAGAAAACAGAGAAAACAGGACCTGGTTCGCAAACCAAGGCAAAGCACAAAAGACTCCTGAAGTCCAGAGGCAAGGCTCTCAACCAAGACTTTGAAACCTCAGAACGAGCACAATATGCATCATCACCGAGCGCTCAATTGGTGACGCCTGAGTCTTAAGGTCAGTAAAAAATGGGGTGTCTACAATAGGCGACTAAAAAATTATTAGTCAGCGTTAGTCTACATTTTATGCTACTAAATTTTATTTTAATCGTCGTATACTAATTATTGCTAGCAAAAGTAAGTTTAGTCGCCAAATAACGGCGATATTTTCACTGTTACTCTTTGGCTACCAAAATATTTCGTTGGCAAATATGCACTTTTGGTGATGAAAACAAAATTAGTCTTGGTATACTTAATTTTTTCCGACAAATAAACAAATTAGTCGCCAAATTATTACTTTTGGCGACTAATATTTTAGTCGCCGTTATTAAGCTTGGGCTACCAAATTTAGTCATTATATATCAAATAAATATTTTAGTTGCTAAAGGTATAACAATCTTAGAGGGAAGTGAATTAATATTCGCACCCACCCTGTTCTCTATTTACACATCCATTTCTTCTCTCTCTCATACATAAATTGTCTCTCATCTCCAAACCTCACCCCACCTCACTAGTGTAGACCACCGTCGCTATCACCGTTCGTCGCACACCGCCACAGCCACAAATCACCACCGTTACCGTCACCACCACCTCCTTACAGGTTCTCTCTCTCTCTCTCTTTCTCTCTCTCTCTCTCCCTTCCCTCTTTCTCTATTTCTCTTTTTTTGAATCTTGCTCTAGGGTTTTTATGATTTCTTCAGTTTAATTTTGTGTTAATTTCAAAAAATGGGTTTGGTTGAAGTGGTTTAATTTCTAAAGTTTTATGGGTTTGATGTCCTAAATGGGTTTGACTTTAGAGGTTTCATATATTTGTCCCTCTTTTTCCTTTCTCTCTCAGTAGTTTCAAAGCCGTAATCAATAATGTGTATGTATTTGCATGTATTTTAACTAACTGAAGATGGTAGCGGTGGCAACAGTGGAGTTGGGCAACGAAGGTAGAAACGATAGAGTGTATTTTTCTATGGCATCACAATACATTATTTTATATATACTTAATACACATTTTAACTAGCTGAAGATGGTAGCAGTGAAGTTGGGTAGCAGCGGTAGGAACAATAGTGGCGACGTTGACAAGTTTGGGCTATATTTTGATTTAGATCTGGTTAAGATCAAATCTTGTTTTTACAAATCACATCTGTGAGAAAATTGATAGTTTTTCTTAACCATGGCTAATTTTTTTGACGACTTTTGTATTTTGTTGTTTGTAGTTTGTGTTAAATTTCTTATTTCGTCATTTGGAACCTTATTGTTCTTTTTCATGCATGATATTTATTTTATTTTAATATAACTGTGTTTAACTTTTCTCAAAAATAGAAAACAAAAAAAAAATATTAATTTAAGGTCCCTAATATTAGGATTTTATAAGATAAATGACATGCAACGTTTTTATAATAGTTGGGGTCCTCCAACATTTAAACAGAGAAATTTCAATTTTTCAAAGAAAAATTGCATAGAGAAATTTCAACTTCACAGAAACATTTCACTATAACGAGTTGAAATTTATATAATAATATTATTAAGGGATCTTAACTGATAAGAAAAAATATATTGGAATTCTCTTACTACCTAAAGTTGGATACGACTGTTTCACTAACTTTCTCAAAAATAAAAGATAAATATTTTAACCATATGATTGGTGTCATGACCCACACCGGTTCTTAGAGTTGGATTCACAACTAATTAAATTCTAAAATTTCTAAGATTAGTTTGAAGTAACTAAATTAAATAATCCAGCGGAATAAAATAAAAGATGTAGATAAATATCTGAAATATACATGGCAGTTTCATATATTTTCCCCTCTTTTTCTTTTCTCTCTCAGTAGTTTCAAAGCCGTAATCAATCAATGTGTATGTATTTGCATGTATTTTAACTAACTGAAGATGGTAGCGGTGGCAACAGTGGAGTTGGGCAACGGAGGTAGAAACGATAGAGTGTATTTTTCTATGGCAACACAATACATTATTTTATATATACTTAATACACATTTTAACTGGTTGAAGATGGTAGCAGTGAAGTTGGGTAGCAGCGGTAGGAACAATAGTGGCGACGTTGACAGGTTTGG